ATCTCATGGCCTTCAGGCCTGCCTTTAATTGTTTTTTGGTGAAACATTCTTCTAGGTCGTGTAACCCTGGTATGTTCACTTGCTATACAGAGGTAACTCATGTTTGCTGTGAAGCCAAACACTGTGAGACTGAGGAGTCAAATGCGAGAATGGTTACCCATGGTGGACAGTGTCTGATGGAGCTCCCCGATTAAAACAAGCCTGGAAGTAGAAGTGGCATCCACTTCCATAATAGCTTGCCTCTGGAAACCCTATGAACCTGGAGAAAAGACAAAAGTTATATAGGTGTCCAGGACTTTCGTTCACAGGGTTGCCAGGAGTCGCCTATGACTCGATGGCACTTAACAGCAACAATAAACAATACGAGAGGACATTCTTAAAAATGGAAAGGGAGGTAGAGGTGCTCTCAGCTCAAAGGTGGCTGATGTCTGCAGCAGAAAATTTCCAGGGAAACTGACTTGATAGGTTTGATCACACTCCTATGAAAGCAGGGCGACTGCCAGACTCCTCCACACTTTTCCTCAACCTTGGTCTGACATAGACCACCACCATATGACCAACACCATTAAGAGCAAAGAATTATTGTTACTGTTATGTGCCACTGAGTTGCCTGCAACTCATAGCAATCCTATGTTCACTGGCTCTCAACCCTGCCAATCTCATCATCTCCAACAGACCTAATCCCATTTCTCCAGTCACTGAGTCAATCCATCTCATCCTGAGTCTCTCTCTTCTGTGCTATCCCTACACCCTTCCGAATATGATGTCCTCCTCTGAGGACTGGTCCCTCCTGGCCACATGCCCTAAAGTATGTGAGACAGAACTTCAAAATCCTTGCCTCCAAGAAACAGCTTGGTTTCATCCTCCCCTGGAGAGACCTGTTTGCTCTCCGAGCAGTTCACAGAATGTTCCTCCCCAGCACCATAACTCGAATCAATTCTTCTTCTATCATCCTTAGTTATTGTCCAGCTCTACGGTACAAAGCAAGTAACTGTGAAGGCCATGGCCTGGCAGGCACACCTTAGTCTCCAGACATCATTGCTCTTCACTACTCTGGAGAGGATCCTAACACCAGACTTTCCCAGAACAATTAATCTTTTGATTACCTCACTGCTGGCTGACTGTGTTGACTGTGGAATCAGGCAAGCTGAAGTTACCAACAATCTCAATCTCTACTGTGCCCATCATGGAGCTGCCAATTCGCTCAATGGTGAGAATCTGTTTTCTTGATGTTGAGCTTCAATCCATATTGAAGACTACAGTCCTTAACATTCTGCAGCAAATGCCTTATTTTCTCTTCAGTTCCAGCAAACAAGGTGTCATCTGTGTTAATACAGGTTGCTGATGAATCTTCCTTCAATCCTGATGCCACAATTTCTCTTCATAAAGTCTAGCCTCCCAGATGATCTGTTCTACATATAGATTGAAAAAGTACAGCAATAGGATGCATCCCTGACACACACTTTCCTGATCCTAAACCATGCAGTGTTTCCCTGCTCTGATCTGACAACTGCTTCCTGGTCCAAGTACAGGTTTCACAGGAGCATAATTAAAGTGCTCTGGGATTCCCATTCTTCTCAAGGTTAGCCACAATTTGTTATGATCCACACAGGCAAATGCCTTTGCACAGATAATACAGATCTCTTCCAGTCAGTTGGTCAGGTAGTTGTCCTCCAGATTTCTTGGCATAATCTGGTGAGCACATCCAAAGCAGCATCTATTCGCTGAAATATATTAACTGGTATTCCATCAATTCCTGGGGCCTCTCCCCCCCCCAAGTTCTTTCAAGAACAGCACTGTAAGCTCTTGATCATTTGTTGTTTCATGAAATTCTTTTGTGTCGGCCAATTCTTTTTGGAATAGTGCCTCCATGTATTCCTTTCATCTTCTTTTGATGATTCCTGGGTCATTCAACATTCTGCCCTCAACATCCTTAAGTATCGCAACTTTAATTTGTTCTTGTGTGATCAAGTTTTTTATACACTTTGGGAATTTTCTCATACAGTGAATATTAAGACTTAATAGGTTAAACAAGGGGGGAAAAAAACCAAACAAACAAACAAAAAAAGACTTAATAGGTTGAAAAGTATTTTTCAACATAAAACAGCCAAAAAGAATCTCCTCGATCTTTAAAATTAATCCTTCCAACTTCAGAGGACCAGCCTGCAAGCTTCCTCTGGCCTCAGCTTAGAAGTTCCTATCACTCTTCACTTTTAACCACACCTCCTGACCAATAAGACAGAAAATTAAGTTACTTTTTTACTGTTTCTCTTCCTTAACACCTATGTCACAAAGCTAAGATTACCATATGCTAATATGCTATCTTCAGGTGTTTCCCTCATTTTTTCCTTTCTTTTTCTATTATCCACCTCATCTCTTCTTCCCCCAGATTCGATGTGATTCAAATGTGCTTCCACACCTGAGTGTTTTCCAAAATTAAAGACATGAACCCACAAACAGAAGTTATGTATCTAAAACTAAGCAAGAAAAAGTAAAACAAAGATACAGCTACACACATAAAAAGAGAAACTGAAAAACTTAGGTAAAAGGAAAATAATTTAAAAGCTCTTCAAAGTGAAAAGACAAATTGCTGACTGAGGAAAGAAAACTACAGTAGGAACTAACTTACCAAATAGGAATTGGAAGACATAAAAGTCTTCAATGTGCTGAAGAAAAAGTATGAGTGAGCCTAGATTTCTGCAATCTACTAATCTTCAAAACTGAAAAAGACTTCAGACTCAAGGAGGGGCACAACTATGCACATATCATCAAATGGAAGAACTACCTCAATAAGGAAGATACTTTCTTAAAAAGAAATGTGAGCCAAGAGCAGTAGAGAGGCAGCGATAATGACTAAGTCTGAACTCCACTTAAAAAATGCAAGGTATGTGAAAAGCATGCACTACTTTGAGAATGATCTTAATAGGGGTAAAAAAGCTCAACACAAATAAACAACTTTTGCAACACAACTTAACAGCTCTTACTACTTCTGTTTTCTTGTCGTTTTAGAGTTGTCTCAGCTGTCAACTGTCAAATTTCTTTAATAAAAGCACAAAAGCACTGTTAAAACTTTCCATCTCTTTCTCTGGCAAACGTTTAAGTACTATATATTAATCAGAGCATCAAAACAATTTTTTGCCATATTTTAGTTTTTTTCATTTTCCATATAAAGTAATGATAATTTAAAAATAGCAGTGACAAATATTTCAAATTTCCCCACTATTAGTTTCCTTTTCTCATTTCTTTGTAAATTCAATCACATGTTCATTTCATGAAATTATTCCAGTACTAAATCCTAAGACTCGTCACAAAGAGGAAAAGACTATTAATCAGATTGGAATTATATGTTTAATACATCATGTGTTAACAGCAATTTTTAAAGTAAATACACCATAATCCTTCTAACTTACTAAAGACTTTATAGTTTAAAAAGTTGATTCTAAAAATATACCTTCTTTTTTCTAAATAAATAACATCTAGAAAACAGAATAATAGTACATCTATACCACGATCATTAAGGCTCTATACATATTTATTCAAGATACAATCTTAGGAGTTTCACACTTTTAGCCTTGGCATATAAAGAAAGTTCAAGTCTGTTATACAGGATTTTAATTTAATAGCAATGTTTTCAAAACCAAGAATTAAAAAAAAAACCTACTTGACAGTCTAAGAAAGTATTACATATACATCAGTTCATACACGCCAAAATATACACACACTCTAAAGTATTCACAAAAATTTGCTCTATATACCAGACAGTTGTCATAAACTTTAAAAAAAAATGGGGGAAAGTTAGCTAAGAATTTGTTTAAACCACAAATGTGTCTAATCATGGAAAAGATAGGCACAAAACTGTTATCAAGATCTTTCACATGCACAAAATATGATCCCAATGCATTCTTAAGCAGACATGATCTATTCCTTAATGGGCATAGAAAAACATAAATTAGGTACCCACCTCTTTGGAAGCAGGAGTGACACCCACTTCATAAACAACATGCCTTGGGAAACTCTATGAACTTCAATAAATGTCATTATAGAAAAGCTGCAGGTCTTTTTGTTCATAGGGTCACTATGAGTTATGCTCAATTCGAAGGCAATCAACAACAAAAACAACTCACCTCTAGGAACTTCACTGACAAGAGATCACAGGATCTCGATCCAGCAAGTGGTGTGCTGCCATACAATAACAGAACCCAACAGAATTAAAAACTTTATTTTGATCTGTTTGGGATTTCTTGTTTCATAAGCAAAAGCAGTGGGATGGTAGATTGAAAATGATGACTAGTTTCACTTTACACTTTGTGGCACTTTCTGGACAGTTATTTCCAAAACATGTATGTACTTTAACTAAGTTCTCTTTCAGGTGGCCTTAACATACTCTCCTAAATCTAGACACAAGGTAACTTAATGATGACATCATCTTGAGTAAAATCTGCCTAATCTGAAACATTCTATGGAAATTTATTTTTCTCAATTAGCAAAATATCGAAACCTCTCTGAAACATTAAAATAAAAACTAGCCACTTATTAGTGACTTATAACTCGTTAATTCATAGAAAAATGAAAAGGTACAACAGTGAGTCAAAGAAAAAATATCAGCTTTCCATTTATTTTGTTTTAAACATTCTTATTTCATTTCCTTATGTTCATAAATTATTCAAAACATTCTTAAACTCTATAAGACAGTAATAAAATATTTTGGCACAACATTGATATACAATGTATGGTATATGTTTAAAAAATTAATTTAAAAATTTCACCTATCAGCAAGCTTTTGTTTGAATGTAGTGCATATATATACTTTAGTTATTCAATTCAAATACATAAAGGTTTATAATTGATTTACAGATGAAGCAATCACAGATTGCAGTTAGATATACAAATATTACCAGTATATTCTTGGTATAAATACAAATATATACCAATAGAGGGGAAAACTGCATCCTGGCAATTTTACAGTCCAAAGTCTTGTGGGTATGTGCATCATTTATATGCCTTTCTCATTTTGTTCTCTGTACAATGATTATTGATGCACTCTTTCTTCATTCCTGATGAGATTTTTCTGCAATCACTTTACATTCATACTATAAAAATGAAAAAGGTTAACAGGTTGATTTTTTTTTAAACAGTATTTCCAAATAAAGTAAAAGGCTATCAAATTTTATTAAGAGCTTTTTATTAATAAAATTTCACTGAAATCTATTAATACATGTCTTCTTTATCCCTCAAAGAATCTGGGTATTATATAGTTAATACAATTCAATGACAAACAGGAAAAATGAAAAATTTTAAAAGTGAAAGATATATAGCCAAAATTAAGAGAAAGACAAGGTTTTTGCATAAGAAGCAAGTAACAGTAGGATTTACATCAACACTAGAACACATACAGAAAATGAGAGGAAGGACACATGAGAGGGAGGTCTTTTTGAGTGCTCCAAAAGGCAAATGAGAAAAGGGAAGAAAGACCATCAACTTAAAAGCAGGGTTGATACAGTAAATTCAGATAATTTTTTAAAAAAACTCACCTTCAATAACATTAGTAAAGGTATTTAATCAAGTCTATTTTTTAAAAATGAAAGCTATAAAAAAAGAAAAATACAGTCACAGTTCAAACCAAATTGAGTAAACACTCAATTCTGGTTAAAATGATGGTGGTTGTTATGGTTGGATACATCAAGGTGGCCTGCTACTTGTGAGGTCCCTGTGCACAACTGGATAGTACCACTGAGATCCACATGATTTAGCTGATTTTCAGATTTCCAGGTTTCTCTCTCTTCCTAGTCTGTTTTAGTCTGGAAGATCTGCTGAAATCTGTTCCGCATCAAGGCAACATGTAAGCCTTCCCTGACAGGTGGATGTGGCTACACACCAATCAGTGGGAAATGAACCCTGGTTTCCTAGATAGAAGGGGGGGGGGGAGTTGACCACTGAACAACAGATGCCATATGGCTAAAATGTATCAACTGCTTATTCAGGAAATCTCTCTGGCTTCTAAGTGTTACTCCTAGACCTTTGCACTGGGGCTTTTTACTTTAAAACTAAAATAATCAAATGTCTTCCTCTGCTGGAGAAAATCCAAATTTATACCCACTGCAACAACATCATTTACTAGACGTGCCCTTCATGAAGAAAAGAGAAACAAAGATCCTAATATCCTAGTCTGGATGATAAACCACATTGTCATACTCATAATACATTTTGACTTTTGTATTCAGTGGTATTTTTAATACATTTATAATTAAATTATTCTCAAATGATTCAGTGGAATAGCATGAATAATCAAAGAACGGTTTCCTTCACCAACTGCTTTCCTTCAAAGAAGTAATGTCATTTAGAGAAAATGTGTCATACAGTTCAAGAACAGAAAAAAATGATTAAATAAGCATAGCTTACCAGTGCTAGTTGTCGACCAATGTTTCCCATTGTTATGCCTCCAGCAAAAAAAATACAAGGTAACCAAGAACGCACATAGAGAAAATCTGGAGATGTATATCTAAAATGATAAGATTTTTAATAAGAAGAAGGTATGATACACACTAATATAATAACAATAAATTGGTCTAAAGATATAAACTAGCTAAATCAATTTCAAAATCTCAGTTGCGCATTTATTTATTTAGCAAACAAGTACCACAATTTCTACTACTTAATGATACACATCTTTCATACTTACTGATAAACACCATTATAGACTAGCAGTTGTGTGACCAAAGTTGCCAAAAAAGCAATTCCTACGCCAAGGCCAAAACCACTTCTAGATCTATCAAATGTCCACCATAGTCCAATGGATAGTGCAGCCAGTGTGAGAGACAACTGTATGTTGTTATCAAAATCCACTTTCTGAGATCAGTGTTAAAGAGTCATCATAAAGCTTATGGCCAAGTAATATCAACTTGATATTTTCTAAAGAGATGCTATTTTTGAGACAAGCAATACTTATTCTAGATCACATTCAGTCTTTTTATATAATATACCAGATTGCTGTTATGTGCCATCGAGTCAGAAATGACCCATAGCTAACCCTCCAGTGGGTTTTCAGAGGCAGTAAATCACAAGGGAAGATAATTCCCATCTTTCTCTTAAGGAGCAGCTGGTGGATTTGAACCACATGCCTTCTAGTTGGCCACTCTTTACCACTAGACTGCAATAGCTCCCTATCAATGCTATTTATTCACAGAGGCCATGATATTTTATAGCAAACACAGCTTGCCTGAATCTGAATCCCATCCTAAAACTGGTCTCTTCAAAACCCCGATTACAAGATCAAGCCCGATTTAAAAATCCTTTCTTTGCTAAAAATAAAGTGAGAAACCTCAGAAAACAAGTATGGCTAAAGGAACACACTTTTGCTAAACCGGAAACCAATATTACTTTTCAAATAGGCTTAGCATTACTTGAGAATCATACAGGAACTTGAGAAGAGAAGAGCTGACAGCTATTTAATAGGGTACCACATTGTCCTTATGATTTACTGACATATTTTATAATAAAGCAGTTCAGAAACAAGAATATCAAGGACACAGTATTCCTTTCTATTATGCCAACTGCTCTACTTTTAATTTGTTGAGGATAAAGCCTTGAAGTGAACATTATCTTTCTACCTGCTAAGCTATTTTACTGCCTGAGACTTTCTGGTACATGACAGTTTGCTCAAAAGATATTTCTGTCACTTACTTAAGCATATCTATTCACAATATACGACTCTTTTTGACTCCAAAATCTCTGGGCAAAACAAAGCTTTACAAATTAAGAAGATCACACTGAAATGTATTTCAATTGTCACTAAAAGGGGATTATTGTCCCAAAGGCCACACACTGGCTTTTAAGCTATAATCAGCTCCCTAAGTTGGTCTTCTAGGTATCTTGTCAAAATAACTGGCCATTCTGCCTCAAAGAAAGGAGTAAAAAAAAGTCCCCCAAAAGCACAGTCATTTTTTTTACTTCCTTCCTTAAACCTCACTGTTTAGCACTGTCCAGCAACTTGGCTTATCTGCCAGGATGCTGAACATCTAGCTTGCTTACATTCATCATCATCTGGGCATTATGAAGGAAGCCACTCCTTCATGGGCACTACTTGTTTAAACTTATCAAAAGCCTGTAGAGTATATGCATGTTTGCTTTATGAACTTTCTTCCAGCTAGCATTATGCATAAAACACTAAAGAGAAAATTATTCTAGTTTTTATGATTCAGTAAATATTCTTATGAAGAATAAACTGATATTAACAAGGTTTCAACCTTTGTTAATTTCACTGCGAGTCAAAGCAAAAGTTCAGCTTCCAAGGTAACGAGCAGAAACACATCAACTTCAAATTTTTCTCAAGTCTAAGTAGCCTGACATTAAAAGTAACTATGAAACCTTGAAAATCTCAAAAGACTGGTAAAGGATATATAAAGATAATATCTAAGTACATTACTAAGAAAGAAAAGAATGACCAAAGCAAAAATTAATTTAGACGAGGCCTTTTAAAACAATTCTTCAAAGGGTACTTAAGTTTCTTGAGTTAAAAACAGAAATTCCAGCTGAAATACCTGTAATATAAAGGTCTCATTCCATCAAAGAGAAAAGAATTCAAACATTCAGTAGCCCCAGGGTTGCAGAATGAGATGTTATGAACAATTTAACTAATTACCTAACCGCTCCACGTTTTCATTATTTACTTTTTGGCTTTTGTTTTATCTTATTAATCTTTATGAAGAAATTACTGAATTTAGTTATTTCTAAATTCTGTCCCAGAAATTCTAGGATACATCATATTCTATGCTTGTCTCTTGGTTGCTGTTGTTGTGTGCCACAGAGTCAGAACTGACTCATAGCTGACCCTCCATCAAGTTTTCAGAGGCAATACATTGCATGGGAGGAAAGTGCCCATCTTTCTCTCACAGAGCAACTGGTGGATTTGAACCATACGACTTCAGGATTGCAACAGAGCTTCTCACCACTAGGCAACCACTTAATTTTTAAAAATAAATCTCAAATATTGTCACTGAAATAAATATTTCAGGAAATCCTTTAATGTTGTTGTTTGATGCCGTCGAGTCACAGACGACTCATAGCGACCCTATGAACGAACAGCCTGAGCACTGTTCATACATAGAGTTTCCGGAGGCAAGCCATTTCAGAAGTGGATGCTGCTCCTGCTTCCAGGCTTGATTTAGTCGGGAAGCTCCAGCCAACACTGTCTACCACGGGTACTCATTACTATGATTGGCACACCACTGTCACAGTTTTCAGCATCACAGCAACCACGAGTTACCTCTGTACAGCAACGCACAGACCAGTGCTATACCACCTTTGGAGACCAAAAGAGGAACAGCTACTACAGGAATTCCAAATTCAGAGACTTCCAAGAACAGCACAACTGGGACACAGGAAGACAAATGTGTTTTTAAAATCTAGAATTTTGCCTCTTCACGTGGCTTCTGTACCCTATCTTCTCCAAAACACCTAAACCCTTTTCTTAAAGATGTCAACTTGATCATACAGCCCACCCTTACTCCAGCTACTTTTGCCAGCTGGAAGGTCAGGGCAATTCTAAGTGCAAACCATGAGCAGACTAGGTTAGTTCTCCCCCTTTTTCAAATAACAAAGACTTCAGTTACCTCTACTCTCTAAAAGACATCTTTTGGGGGGAGGGAAAGCCATGATAAACATTCCCATATATTTGTATATACAAAGGCACAGTGCACTGCTTGTTGTACTGCTACCTGCAAGGTCAGCACTTTTGAGTACACCAGGAATCCATCATTCCTCAGAAAGAAGAGAGGAAGTCTCCCCCGTAAAGATTTACAGCCTCATGGAGAGGAGCTATGAACTGAATGGACTTGACAACAATGCTTTGTTCTTGCATGTATTCTACAAAAGGAATTCAGTGGGTGTGGGATAAGGGAAAAGTAAAGAGAATGACAGGATAAAAACTTTGAAGACCTTGTCCATAATTAACCCTATCTTTTCACCCAGATCTTTCCGTTTTCCTTGTCCCCCTCTCTCCACCTACCAAACTTTGCAACCTGGTGGTTTCTCCCCTACTCCTGTACCCTTTGATTAACTTTTAAACATAATGCATGAGAATGATTGTACTGAAACACAATGTGAAGAACAGTGTGAAATACAATGTATACTTTGCCAGTAAAACAATTAAAAATACAAAAAAATTTCTAAAACATTATTGGAAGAAACGATAAATTATATTAATGGGGGGGG